TAGCATTCCATTAATGACTGGCTTTGCGAATTGGTGAGGAATAGTTTCACTCAAATCCTTGTAATAATTTAATTAATTATTTACTTTTGCGCAAAATGTAGCCCTGTGAAAACTCTCTCTGTTTGTTAGTCCAACTACAAGCAATGACATAGCAACCCATATGAAAAGTCGGGTTCAACTTACTTTGAACATTAACATATTAAAACAATTAAAATTATAAGAGTTAAAAATCAAATCTTTATACAATTACTAAACTTTAATGATATATATTATTTAAGAATTCTATTTTTGATCATTTTAAATTTCTTTAATGTGTGATAGTGGATCAAAACTTGTATTCAATTTTAGATCTATGTGAATAGATTATGAATTTTAAATTTTATTACACTACTTATGTATACCATTAGACATGTTGCATAAAGCCTAAATAGTATTTAAACACCAGAAATTATATTATCAGTGCTGTCATGCGTTTTATTTAGTTTAAATTGGCGAATAATATAGATCCGCAGGAAACAGAGTTGCGATTGCTATGTAGCTGTGAATGTAGATCTGTTCAGAGAATTTCGCTTCGCTCTGCTCCTAATCTCCGATGAATCGTTGCTGACGTCACTTTTTACACTTAACAAGGAATCTTATGACTTGGCTGGATACTCCAAGCTTTCCATATACGCTTGCAGAAAATTTAAATTACGGATGACATGTTGCCATTACTAATGTCATATGAAATGTATGCACTTGTGACGGAACCCTGTTTCAGGCTATTTCAATTTTGGTGTCACAAATCTGTAATGGATGTTAATAGTTGGATAACCTCTTATGTATAGGTTAGCAGATCTCCTACTCATATCCGCTACTACGATCACAAAACTGTGCAAAATACTAGGAATAGGGCATTACCAGGGAGTGTTATGTTTTCCATATAGGAGTATATAATACATAAAGGAAATCCCGAGAGTGAATACAATGGATAAAGTAATAACATTTTCATTTAAGATTCCGGTTAAACATACTCTGAATTTTCCCTTAAATAAGATAGCATAGATCTGTATGCGTCACACGATATGAGATTTAACACAATAATAAGCAAGGTATTGACGAAGTGCAAAGTCATCGTTAATTTCATTAATGATTAATAAAACGAGTACAGGAAATATTAATAGGTGAATTGATTGCAATTCGTCAAGTATCTATTTACATCTGAAAGCTTATGCTGATATGATAGGTTAAAATCTTTTTTACAATCCATTTTTCCACAGAAGTGAAATACAATAAATATACATCATAAATCCTTTAAAATAGCTAGTGACGAAGGAAATAAGTGAGATGAATGGTAAGTAGATTGCTCATTTGATATCACGTCACCGGCCGCGTTATTAGGAGATTCTATTCTTTACACCATGCCACAACTCCCCAAATTGACAACTGAGGCAAATCCTCTTGACTCGTCAATTTTTCATACTTTTGCAGTCCCTCCTCCCCCATCTCATCTCCTGGGGCTATATTCTTATCTAGGAACACCACTTCGTTTGGCAATTTAATAGATATACATCTTTTCACGTCTCCTGAATGTGCATTAGGTGGATTTAGTTAACTTTACTTATTCTCAAGGGCGGTCAGAGCTACCGGATCTCAATCGAGTCATCCAATTAACCATCCATTTTACTCAAATTGTTAGTTAGGATTGTGACTGGATGTCTCTGAGCCCTTAATACAAGCCCTACTTTCCATTTTAATTTTGAATGGCTTAGAAAATGATAGAACAAGCAACCTTTAGCAAGGACAGCTCTCAAACCGTCTTTCTCATGCTCAATATTTAGACTTCAAAAACCATATTTCTAGTCTTCCTTTTAAGCACCTAAACCCCAGGCTCTTGGGCCTCTGTGAATGGATTCTTTCAAAGCCATCACTGCAGAGAAGCATTACCTCATGTTCAAATTTCTCAATCGAGTAAAATACTACTTTTGCCCTCTCATGCTGTCAGAACCACTGGTGACACCGCTCAGATCAACGTGTGTGCATTGGGTATTTAACCTATGTACTTGTGTCGCTAACTACAACTGAAGATTCCAACTAGATTTTGAAGTAGGTCTAGATTGTGAAATTGGCATCCCCAAAAAGCAATGTATAGACATTCATATCTTTATCTTCAAATAGCCACCTTGAAAATTTAGTGAATATAATACAATGCATCTTATTGTTTGAGTTATTACCTTTAAACATACCTCACATTTTTGCTGTTTACGCTATAACCCGGTTTGCTCGAAGTTTGCCATGCAGGGACCTATCCCTACACTTGAGTATAACTTTTAGATTTGTCATATCACGCATGCAGCACACTCCCGAGAATTATTCAATGTCAAGACTTCTTGCTACTATGATTCATCTGCACTCCTAGCCCTAGCCAACCATTAAATCTCTCCAATGTATCGAGCCTGTTCTTAGTCCTATCAGATCGAGATCCTGTAACATTACTTAGAAGCTGGCATTAAAAGCATGCAAATGCTTAAGCAGCAAAATATTTTAGCTCCGCTACTTCTCCTGGGACCTGCTTCAGTTCAGGCGACTGGCTATCATCATTGCGCCGTTGTCCGTTATACGGTGGTTTACATCAGCGATTAGTCTTAGATCCGTGTTTGGAAATTTCTGATCCTCATACTCTGCGTCTCCCTGGATTTCAAACGCTACAATCTAATAAATCACTTTTTTCCTCTGCATCTTCTGTGACTCTGGCAGAAATACGCTTAAGAAGGCCATCACTGAGCAAGTGTCTACGTCCGATGCACGAGCATTTCTTAACAGTTGTATCCACAGAACTAGATTCGTTAATTTGACGCACACTCGACGACATCTATCCACGTTGGCCTTCCGTAGTGTTCTCTCCATAGGAGACTTGGTATGATCCTACGCTCAAAAGTATCAAACTGTGGTAAAACAAACCGGAAAAGCTGCGTTCATCTAGGTCGCCTAGACAACACGATCAGGTTGCGAAAATGAGGTAAAAACACTTCTATAGCACGAATATAGACAGCGACCGAAACAAAGGCCAAGCCATCTTATTCTCAATACCTTCGCTTCCCCATTCGTATTCTCTTAAGCATTTTTGAAGCACTCCCTAGACCCTCTTTGTTGGGTACATAAACTTACCATTATCTCCCTATATTGGGTTTTTTTAAATGGAAAATTAAAACGAAATAGTTAGGATGTTAGGATCCATATTCTATCAAACAAGAATAGAATTCGAGTGTATGGATGGAAGATAATATAAAGAGTTTGTGATAAATGGAAACAATTTAATATGCACGGGCATAATGGTTATCCTTTTCGCCCTGTGGAGATCAAGTTTCAGGTGGATTTAAGATAAAGAGTTTTTTGACAAGATTAACTCTATTATCAGAGGGGAATACCGAGTGCCGTGTCTGCTGATCGATTGCACCTAAAGCTGCTTCGATTTGCTCAAGCACTTCTTCCGACCTTTCCGTTTGGTGCCTACTTGAAAGAATGCGATAAATATCACGAATGAGATCGGGAGGGAGCCACTTTGGTAATCCAGAAGAGATGCCATCTCCTGTGGTGAAAAGTGTTCGTGCCAGGTTGGCAGCGCTCTGACGAACACGGACCTCTGGATCGTAAGTCAAGTGATATTCAATCAATGTGAAAACCTGTGGACAGATATCCCAAATAAATGTTTGATTAAGTCTACCTAACAATTCGAATTTAATGAGTCATGAAATAACCAAAACGATTCATTATTTATAAGGAATTTGTAATGCCAGGACATAAAATTCTTTTAGTATATTAGGTAAATGTATACAAGATATAGGACAGAAACCAAACATACATAATTATATTTATAGAAATGACATTAAATAATACAAAATAAAAATGTAAACAAAACATGATTCCTGAGGATAATTAAAAAAATTTGAGACTAGTCATTCTCTTCCAAATAAAAATAAAGCTATTTAAGCTCATCTTAATAACCCATATATCAATCGTACCAAAGTAAGGATACAAATTGTAACTGTCATGTGGTTAAATATATATGCCTTAAGATAATGATTCGGGTTAAAACAAAAATAAGATATGGCTTAAAATTACCTCGTAAATGATTGGCAGAATTCCGTGCTGCAATAACCTGCAGAGCTCACTTAAGTTTGAGAGACTGGCAGCCCTAACAAGAAAATCAGGATCCCGGGCAGCAATGGCGAAAGAGGATATTATGGGGTGACGATATTTCACAGCAAGCTCACCTGAAGGATGATACAAGTAGAAAGTACGAAGAGAAAGAGTAGCGAATCACAATTTTTGTAACAGACCGATTAAATAAGAGGTTAGAGCTATCGATAAAAATAAACATAAAATGACCAAATTGCCATATGTAATCAATTCAAATACATACAAATTAAGAACACTAGCTTCAAGGGTACTATATGAAAACAAGTTTTATTCAAAAAATAAGGGAAATTGTGGAAGCAGATGAATAATTCCTCCAAGATAGACTCCATCCAACCAGAAAATAAAGGTCCCTAACATAAGTTTTGAGGATAAGTGCCTGTGAAGGATTCGGTTACTATAATCAGAAAATTACATAATATTGAGACACGTCATAAATCAGCAGTTGGGCGAATAGCAGATGACTAAATCATATAGTGCAACAAATACAAAATTCACTATTTTCCTCTTTTTAGTTAGTTCCATGAGTCCCTTTACAAATTGTGAGATTTCGCCGATACTACATTATCATGGTTCGAGCCTCGCTGAGGGTGTTTATAAGACCTAGGCGAGGTTGAAACTGCAATCCATCCGGGATGAGAACATAATTTGGAAAAGCGAAATTTAATGAACGAGATAGGTCTAATTACATCAATGTGGGAAGATTCCATTACAAGTTCTTCATTACCTTAAACGAAATAGGGTTAATACATCGCATAATTATATAAAAATTCTGATCAAATATATAATGAGTCTATGATACTAGAGCATAAATGGCTGCAGCCTCGTCACAAGTAATTTTACGATTTGGAAAATAATATTAAAGGTAAGGAAATTATGAGGTTTTAAACTGAGTTATAACGAACTAGATGATGGTTTTTTACTTCATAACTTTGGCAAGAACACAGAAAAATGTAAACCTTAATTTTCGGAGGACTTAACTTATTAAATCATTCATGTGGCAAAGAAGATATAAAACCAAACATATAGTTTAATCTTCCGCTACAGTAAAAAACAGCGACGAGTAAAAACAAATGGATCGCGCAACAACTGATTAGTCTAGCATAAAAAGAGAAAAGATTTTTTAAATCTTAAATAAACCAGCATTCAATAAACCGCTTAATATAAGAGAGGTTAGAAAGAGATCTATCCCTTCCATAATCTCTGGATGATCTAGAGTTATTTTCAGAGTTTGAATAACTCTCTGAATTAGAATATTGGAAGACATCAGTGTCACATAAAGACTTACTAATAAGTCTCCATCCAAAGTATGTTTTGATCCACTAACTCAACAAATTCGTAATATTAGAGAAAGCTTGGACACATTCCTACTTTTATTTGTCCCGCATGAGCTAAGTTCAAAAGGAAATCAGAAAAGAATAGTTTGTCTATTTAAAATGTTTTGAGTCTTAAAGGAGAACATTTAGACAAGGATGTTATCAGAAACGAGAATATGCTAGTTCTTCTCAGAAGTGTCCTTAAACAAATAGTGATACAACTAAAGCATGAATTTTAAAATTGATGATTAATCGGAGTTAGATAAGCGAAAATAATAATTACATGAAAAAATTAACCTTTTAGGCTTACTTTAATATGTGTGCAATTTTTGTTTTATTTAAGAGACAATTAATTTTATTATCTTCAGTGATAACCTAAATTTTTTAAAGAAATATATATCCAGATAGTATTTTTGTGAAAATTCAAAAATAATTTGCCAAGAGGGGTAATTAAACTAGTCTGGGCGACATCGGCTCAGTCTATTTTAGGCATAAGTGCAGGTTAGTTGCTAAAATATACCCAGAGATACACTTAATAAATATCTAGATGGTCTCTGGAATAAATTATATTTCTTTTAATCAAAAACGTAATAAATATAATATAAAATAGATAATATAGCATGCTAATACATGAAACTAACCACACTGTTTGATAATGCGCATGATAGCCTCGCCTAATTTGAGTCGGTATTCACTTCCTCTTGCCTTCGAAGTAGGATGATTAAAACGATCTAACAGGGTTGGTAGCAGGCGATCCGTATATACATTTCCCATAGAAGAGAGACATCTGATAGCAGACAGATAAATATAGCTATCCGGATGAGCAATAAAACGGTTGAAGAGCTATGCGAAAAAAGCAGAAAAAAGGTGATCCAGAAAAAGAGGAAACATTAATTATGGGGAATTCGTGTTAAGAAAATTAATGGGGAAAATACGCTAAGAAACTATTAAGGCCTATTAATTACAAGATCAAGTGACCAATTAGTCTTATGAAAGTAAAAGGATGCATAGATAAAAATGCTAGAGAAGTCACCAAGTCATTTGG